GCAACGTTGATGAGACGTGTCAACCATGACAGTCCCTCAACACCCAGAGCCTTCAGCATTTCCGGGGCGGATCTCATCCACCCCCGGGGCTTTGCCACTGTGGAGTTGTTTGACGACCTCAGTGACCTCCCCCCGGGAGATTGGTGTTGATCCCCCGTCATACTCCAGCTCTGCCTCCAACATAGAGGGCGGAGTTGTCGGGTTCAGGAGTTCCTCAAAGTGTTCCTTCAAACGCCCTAACACTCCATCAGTTGAGGTCAACAACGTCCCATCCTTACTGTACACATCTTGGATGGTTCCCTGCTTCCCCCTCCTGAGGTGTCGGACAGTTTTCCAGAACAACTTTGGTGCCGCCCGAAAGTCCTTCTCCATGTCTTCTCCGAACTTCTCCCACACCCGCTGCTTTGCCTCGGCCACGGATGAGGCTGCTGCCCTTCGGGCCTGTCGGTACCTTGCAGCTGCCTCGGGAGTCCCCCGGGATAACAAATCCCTGAAGGCCTCCTTCTTCAGTCGGACGGCTTCCCTGACCACCGGTGTCCACCAGGAGGTTCGAGGGTTACTGCCCCTCGAGGCACCTAGGACCTTGAGACCACAGCTCCCCGCCGCGGCTTCGGACAGCGACCACTCTGGTTCAATGTCCCCAACCTCCACAGGAATGCCCGAAAAGCTCCGCCGGAGGTGTGAGTTGAAGGCCTCCTGAACTTGGGCCTCCTCCAGACATTCCCAGTTCACCCGAACTACACGTTTTGGCTTACCAGGTCTATCCAGAGGCTTCCCCCGCCACTCGACCCAACTCACCACCAGATGGTGATCAGTTGACAACTCCGCCCCTCTCTTCACCCGAGTGTCCAAAACATACGGCCTCAGGTCCGATGATACGATAACGAAATCGATCATGGACCTTCTGCCTAGGGTGCTCTGGTACCACGTACACTTATGAGCATCCTTATGTTCGAACATGGTGTTTGTTATGGCCAATCCATGACTAGCACAGAAGTCCAGCAACAAACCACCACTCCGGTTCAGATCAGGGGGGCCGTTCCTCCCAATCACGCCCCTCCAAGTGTCTCCATCATTGCCCACATGTGCGTTGAAGTCTCCCAGCAAGATTAAAGAGTCCCCTTCAGGAGCCCCATACAGGACTCTTTCCGGGGTCTCCAAGAAGGCTGTATACTCTGAACTGCTGTTGGGTGCATAAGCACACACAACAGTGAGAGTTTTCCGCCCCATAACCCGCAGGCGTAGGGAGGCGACCCTCTCGTCCACTGGGGTAAACTCCAACAACGAAGCACCTAACCAGGGACTTGTGAGTATCCCCACACCCGCCCGGCGCCTCACACCTTGAGCAACTCCGGAGAAGAATAGAGTCCAACCCCTATCCAGAAGTAATGTTCCAGAGCCGACGCTGTGCGTAGAGGTGAGCCCAACCAGATCCAACTGGTAACGCTCCACCTCCCGCACAAGCTCCGGCTCCTTCCCCCCCAGAGAGGTGACGTTCCACGTCCCCAAAGCCAGCTTCTGTCGCCCGGGTCTGGTCCGTCGAGACCCTCTGCTTTCACTGCCACCCTTCTGGCAGCGCACCCGACCCCATCGCTGTTTCCCGTAGGTGGTGGGCCCGCGGGACGGAGAAGCGGAGGTGTTGCCCACGTTGCCTTTTCGGGCTGGGCCCGGCCGGGCTCCGTGGCAAGCCCGGCCACCAGACGCTCGCCGACGAGTCCTCCTTCTGGGCCTGGCTCCAGAAGGGGACCCCGGGCTTCCTCCGGGCCGGGTATCCTCACTTCTTGTATCGTCTTTCATGAGGTCTTTTGAACCAAAGTAACAATGAGCTGTCATGTGGGTATATATTAATGCTGCCCATTATGGATACAAGCAATTTTCACCCATGTAGTAATTACATGTTTTAAATGTGTACACCAATGTGTTTCCTATCCCCTAAATCTCCAGGGCTGTACACAATTTAATACTGTCAACTCCTAATTTTGGGAAAAACGAAAACGTCTTTTAAAACTACAATTCCCAGTAGAGACGTGCCATAGAGAACATGTTGCGAAACACAATAGCCAGCATGTGTAGTTCTGGGGGGGCGTTCGAGTCCAGTTTTGAATAGTCTGCCGTGGTTTCGTTCCATTTCAAAGAGCTTGGCGCTCGGCGTAACCTTGGCGCACTGCCACTCCAACATCCAATCCCAGAGCTTGAAGATTAATCACGGGGTTTGTCAACGAGACTGTAGTCCCAAACGATAGCTGGGGATTATGGGTAGTGTAGTGTCTTTGGCCATCCTAAACTGAAATGTTTTTCGGATATCATATCGCATTAACAACACCACATCTGGCGTCACAGAGCTCTTCTTTTACTGTCCTTTCTTCTTAGAGGAAGTACAGAAACACGTAACTGGATTTGTTTTAATGTTTGAGGTGCAATAAACGACACGGCAGCTTTTTGGCATGTTAAAAACTATTAGTTTCTGCCTCGCTCATGAGAGCAACAGCTGGCACAATTACAGCCTCGCCTACTGATTTCAAATGTGTGCTCTAAAATGATATTTATAAATGACTTATCATTATTATAAGCAAGACAATAAATGGCAAAGATATGTAGAAAATAAACGTATTTAAGATACGTTCATAAGAAACGTAACGTGGGAGAAAATATGTTTCTTGCTAAACGTAATTGAGAATGCAGTTTAGTTCTGTGGGAACATAAGTTTTAGGAGACAGGGTTGCCTCACTCAGAGTGACTTCATGAAGTCATAAGTACAGCAGTGTCTTATTGTTAGCACCACAGACAGTCTCTGGTTTAAACAGGAACATGAATAACCCTGATTGAATATGAGCTGCTGTAGAGCTCTGCTCTCCTCTCTGATCCCCCTCAGACCGTCAGAGACCACAGGAGCACAATCTCAACTCTGACAGGTTTCTGAAACAGAGCGTCACTAACTTTACACTCAAGTTGAAATGTTTCACGCTGCACGAATACGCAGGTGATATAAATTTAACATCTTAACTTCTGTTGAGATCTCCATATCAAGTGAATACTTAAAACGAAAGTTAGTTATAAATCAAATATGATCAATCATATTCTTGTATAAACCCATCATGAAAATGCTTCTTGATGGTTTTTGAATATGTATGTATGTTCACAATTGTATCTGTTGCTGTTTTGATAACTTTGCGTTTCAAAAAGAGGGTGTTGAGATCTCCATATCAGGTTGAATAATTAAAACGAAAGTTAGTTATAATCAAATATAATCAATTATATTCTTGTATAACTCACAATGAAAATGTTTCCTATGTTATGTTTATCTATATTTACAGTATAAACAAAGTGGTCTGTTAAGTTGAGGTTAATAATGGTTTATGGGTGTCACTGATAAGGGAGAAGGCAGTTTATTCCCTCTCTCCCTACAGCGGTGCACAAGGAGGGGGGCTCCTGACTTAAGGAGAAATACATTGAGGCCTCAAAAAGGTCGTTATATCATAGCCGAGAATAATATTTTGTAAGTCCTGCAGAGTAGGGGTCATGTCCTTTTTACACAAACATGGGAAGGTGTGTCTTATGCCATAGCCAATAGAATATGTCTGGTCATGTCCAGTCCTGTACATCAGAGGCCATGCCCAGCTTCCACAAATATGGGTATAGAGGAGGTGTCTTTAGGTTTTTATATCCTGTTGTTGAGCATAAAGACACTGGCGGAGAGGGAGCAAGCTGAGAGAGAGGGGGGGGTTCCCCTGGTATACTCTCTCCCGGTAAGCTCTGTCCCTCAGAGCTGCATAGCTCTCTGTAAGGTTCTCTCAAACTTGGTAAATATCTCTCGATTTTCTTTGTTGAAGGCTGAGTGAATTTTCTTTGTGAAATGAGTGGAATTAATTGATGTTTGTTGAATGTTAGTACCCTGCGACCTGTGAGGAAAGGCCCTCCGAATTCATGTGGGACTAGTTGAAGTATACGAATGTCGAAATGAGAAAATGAACTGTTTTGGTGAATGAAAGGTTGAATGTGCTTTTTATTATCACCAATCTTTTATGAGGAAATGCCTCTAAATTCTATCGGGAGATTTTAAAGGTCACAACTGAATTGGGCAGTTGAAGTTACAATTTATGGTAATAAATGTAAAACTGTGAATTAAAGTTTCATATTTGAACATGATCACAGCATGATAGGTTTAGTATGAGTATAATGTTGTAAAGAGAGAAGGTAAAAAACCTGTATTAGTTTGGACCTATTTTTCTTCAAATAAACTGATCCCACCTTTTGGACTGGGACAACTTAAAAGACATCTGCGCTCTCCTCTCCTGCTTCAAAGGTAAGACTGCACCCTGCCACACTCACACTTCGGTAGGGCCACACCTCATTTACTGATATCAAAATCCTTCGGGATCGCTTAAACAGATTTAAGAGAGTCGTCTGAATTGAAACAGCAGTTAATTGAACCTGGTTCTTCAGGAGTTAATAGAGGTGAGATCTTGCTGACGTTGGTGGATCTGAGCCAAGCAGTAAACTTACATAGACTCAGTAACTTCGGTCAGGTCAATTAGTAGGTCAGAGTAATTTCCCGGAATAAATTATCAGGCCTCCCGACTCTTACACTTCCTTCCTGTTGCCAGGCACGGATCTGGGTCTTTGCATTGACTCTACATGTGATCTCTTAAACTCTGTTGTATCTGCTAATGCTAAACACAATCAGCTCACCAGGTTATCACTATTATTAATAACCATCTTAAAAAGACACATCATAAACATGCCCAAGTAGTTCAATCATGTTTTGGACGATATATTTCTTTTTTTAAATCAGAATTGATCAACATGTTTGCATTTAAAACCATTTTATACACAGATACAATGATAATATAATTGCATATTGAAATATCCTCAGATAATGTTAGCTTGCTCTGCTGCGTTTTCCCTTCACAAACTGCTCACATGATTTGATTAAAGATCAGTTTCATATATTACATCAAAACAGAATCCTCTTCAGGTCAGGTTACAGGAGAAACTCTTACCTTGTGTCTGAGGGTCCAGGTTCATTACTGAAGTCTGGAGGAAGACCGATAGACCAGTCACTCTTCAGAGACAGACAGCTGGGGACTGGAGACTCTGCTCTCTGTCTGTGGAAACAACATGTTTTAAACATCATCAGTTCATCTAAAGAGCAGCTTTTGATCTACTGTTCACCTGATTAAAGATTTTAGAGTTGTTGAGTTGTGATTGTGGGTTTCTGTTGTTAAAATTCATTCAAGTCCAACATGTAGAGTGAGGATGATTTCACTAGTAGATTATTTACTATCTCTGATGAAGACAAGAAGCAAGAGTTCAATTACTCTTTGTTAATGCACTCTACTGGGTTTCATTAAACAGGTTAGATGATCAGAAACCATGGCCGTGGGAAGTAGGGGTGCAGCGGGTGCTGCAGCACCCCCTGGTGGAGGACAGGGGATCTGCACGTCCACAAGATTAAATGGAAATATAATACAAAAAACCGAATCTTCAGCCTTGATGTAACAACATTCATAATTAGTTAAAGATAACACCCTTTTCCCCCCGGTTACATTTTCCATTTGCCCCGTACGATGGGCGCTGTAAGTGATGAAAGTGGGGGATGTTGGCTTATCAGGCGCCCGCAGCTCACAGCCAAAGTGAGAGAGAGGGCGCACCGGTACCGGCGGGGATTGTTGTTAGCTTCTGCTGCGCTAACGGATATAAGAAGCTGTTTCTACAACAAGCTGGAGGGAGAGCTCTCCTGTCAGACTGAGGCTCAGTGAGGTAAAGGACTCTCAGAGTGTTAGATAGTTCACTTTAGTCTAAGTTATCTCAGTGGCTCTCAAACGGTTTGATCACAATTTATGCAAAAAATATTTCCAAGGCACTCCTTTATAATTATTAGGATGAATAAAAACAGGTTTGAAATCATTCCAGTGTATACTATAGGACAGTAAACCAGACATATCGTTTAAAACTGGAGAGATTAACAAATATGCATAAATAAATGTTAACTGGTCAAATAAGATATAAATGAAGAACTAAACTAAAATAAGCTACATGTATTTGTTATTGGCTATGGTAGGCTATTAGTTATGTTCACATACTTATTTGATTATTAAAATGTAAACCGATCTTTTTCATATGGGTGTTTAGAGTTGTACCCCCTAGATCAGGGGCCTCATTTATAAAGGGATATAAAAGACTTGCGTACGGCACGTCCTACGCCGGTTTCCCTTTATAAATCACAATCGACTCGAAATGCGGCGCAGCTTTTGCGGGCTTCACGTAACGCCCATATTTGCCTATAAATAGTCAAAGAAACGCCCATTCATTCATTCATTGATTCTGACTGACTGCAGGAAGGAGATCGAAGGAAATGAGACAGAACAGCTAAAAAAGACGTCTCACACCGTGTCAGATTCTGGTTATTTTGGGGAGGTGGAGATAAATCATATTGTTTGGTGGATGCAGTTTGAACCAGAGTAGCAGCATGGAGGTCGGATCGTCACCAACATAAATAAATAAGTGGTCCGAAAAAGGTTCATGACAAAAACAATACACACAGCCTTCCTCAGGCAGTGTGTTTGTACCGGGGACAGGAGACCCCCCCTTGATGAGAGACTGTAAGAAGTGATCGGGGAATCCCTCCGGAGTGGAGTCATGACGACTGGATCTGAATTATGTTTTTGTATTTGGTGGTTTGTGTCCCAGCTGTCGATCAGCAACTATATATCCATAATCCACCAGTTAAAGGAAATACAACTAATGTGTTGTGTTATATTAGCTGTTCAATTGACCACATGGTGTTCTTAGCTTCCATACCTCCTGTGTTTTACGAGCGACTTATCAAGTCTTGGCAAACGGCATAAAACACGATTAAACGTGATAGTCTATAAAACCATGCTCGTATCTACAACCTATAGAAATGCAACACGGCGTCAGTTTAGACGTAACTCTGTCCTCCTGCTCACCGCATCATTTATGAGAAAACATTTCATAACATTAACGCAACATATTCGAGGTGGTTTTAAAATAACATATCCATATTTATTTATTTCTCCAGGTGATGTGTTTGTGTGCGCTGAGGAGTCTCAAACAGGCGTTTGTTTCATCATTTTAAGATTGGCTTTAATCAATGTTTGAAAATGAATTCTTCATATCTGATAAATGAGAGGTAACATTTTGTTCATGGTATTATTTCCACATATTTCTCTCCATTCTTCCTTCTGCCAACGGGGTCGCAGTTTCTCGTCTCTCCCGTGTTTGTGCTTAGTGCGTACGCATGGGTCAGAGTTTGCGTGGAGGACCGCACGTTTTCCCCTCAAGTTAGTATTTTATAAATCGCAAACATTGCGTAGAAACTGGCGTACGCCATCTTTTGAGCGTATATCCCTTTATAAATGAAGCCCCAGGTCAGTTTACTGAAGAAACTCTTACCTTGTGTCTGAGGGTCCAGGTTCATCACTGAAGTCTGGAGGAAGACCGATAGACCAGTCACTCTTCAGAGACAGACAGCTGGGGACTGGAGACCCTGCTCTCTGTCTGTGGAAACAACATGTTTTAAACATCATCAGTTCATCTAAAGAGCAGCTTTTGATCTACTGTTCACCTGATTAAAGATTTTAGAGTTGTTGAGTTGTGATCGTGGGTTTCTGTTGTTAAAATTCATTCAAGTCCAACATGTAGAGTGAGGATGATTTCACTAGTAGATTATTTACTATCTCTGATGAAGACAAGAAGCAAGAGTTCAATTACTCTTTGTTAATGCACTCTACTGGGTTTCATTAAACAGGTTAGATGATCAGATACCATGGCCGTGGGAAGTAGGGGTGCTGAGGGTGCTGCAGCACCCCCTGGTGGAGGACAGGGGATCTGCACGTCCACAAGATTAAATGGAAATATAATACAAGAAACCGAATCTTCAGCCTTGATGTAACAACATTCATAATTAGTTAAAGATAACACCCTTTTCCCCCCGGTTACATTTTCCATTTGCCCTGTACGATGGGCGCTGTAAGTGATGAAAGTGGGGGATGTTGGCTTATCAGGCGCCCGCAGCTCACAGCCAAAGTGAGAGAGAGGGCGCACCGGTACCGGTGGGGATTGTTGTTAGCTTCTGCTGCGCTAACGGATATAAGAAGCTGTTTCTACAACAAGCTGGAGGGAGAGCTCTCCTGTCAGACTGAGGCTCAGTGAGGTAAAGGACTCTCAGAGTGTTAGATAGTTCACTTTAGTCTAAACGGTTTGATCACAATTTATGTAAACAAATATTTCCAAGGCACTCCTTTATAATTATTGGGATAAATAAAAACAGGTTTGAAATCATTCCAGTGTATACTATAGGACAGTAAACCAGACATATCGTTTAAAACTGGAGAGATTAACAAATATGCATAAATAAATGTTAACTGGGTCAAATAAGATATGAATGAACAACACAAATAAAACAAGTTACATGTATTTGTTATTGGCTATGGTAGGTTGTTGGTTATGTTCACATACTTATTTGATTATTAAAATGCAAACCGATCTTTTTCATATGGGTGTTTTAAAGTTGTACCCCCTAGATCAGGTCTCTAGTGATTCTGCTCAAAGTGCACCAGATTGAAGCATTTTACTTTGAAATGTTTTTTTAGAATCTTCCCCCGGACCCCCCCTGGATGTGACGTCCACCCCCCAATCAAAACATGTTCATACAATACTGAGTACATTTGAAGCCTTTTTATATCAGCTGTCCACCGTGTCAATAGGTTTCTCTGTTTGTAGTGTGTTGGTCTTTAGAGGTTTTTCATTGCCAGCAAAATACAGAATCCTCTTCAGGTCAGGTTACAGGAGAAACTCTTACTTTGTGTCTGAGGGTCCAGGTTCATTACTGAAGGTTATAGGGTCCCACATAGACCGGTCACTCTTCAGAGACAGACAGCTGGGGACTGGAGATTTGTCCTCTTCGTCATCTTTTAAATCACTCATCTTCTCCAGTCTGAGAGATCACACACACACACACACACACACACACACACACACACACACACACACACACACACACACACACACACACACACACACACACACACACACACACACACACACACACACACACACACACACACACACACACACACACAACAATGAGTGAACAGTTCAGATCGAGCTCCAAAAACACATTTCCTGGATCTGTGAACTTCCTGGTTTACATGTTATTAGTAATACGATATACTTTATTGTCCCCGTAAGGACATTTGTTCTGGACTGTCCTGCAGTTCCGCGTACGATACACAAACATAATAACCATCAAATCCATTCACATATCATCCGCCATGCACCGTTTGAACAAACACAGACCCACATACTGACAGTCGAGACCTGTTGCCCTCATGGCCAACATTTAAAAGAACAGCATGTGAGCGTTGAGAAGCTTAATGGACAGAGGCAGGAATGAGTGCTGAGAGCGGATCAGCTGGTGGGAACCCTGGATCTTATCTGTGAGCTGCACGTAAAGAAGTTAAGCACTCGGTTGCAACAAGTCGCTTCTCCCCGACATGTTTCTGAGCCAAGACAAACAGCCACCCTCAAACTCCTCGTGCTTTGTCTCGAGGAGTTTGATACTCTCTGACTTTAGGAGTTTGTATACGTTGTAAAGCATATTCTCCTCCTCTTCTGCTCCCCATTATGAAAGCAGGCTCTCACTGTGCAGGAGGTGGAACTAAATCAAGGTTTTATTTGTAATTCCCGCTCAAACAGAAGAGACTAAATGAGGAAGACGTCTCTGTGCTTGTAAAGATGGCAGCTGGTTGTTGTTCTCAGGAAGTTGAAATCTAAACGAGCTGTTTATCTCACAGAAACATGTGAAGAGATGAACTGATGCCAAACAGGATGGTTTACATACTTTAGAGGTTAACACACACACACACACACACACACACACACACACACACACACACCTTAATAATGAACTTGGTTGAAATACATGAAATCAGTCAGACTGCAGGCCGCTCTCCATTCTGACTGCGTCACATGTTATGTTACTCTGATGAATGAGGACACAGGAAATAATACAAGTTTACAACACTTGCAGAAGTCTCAATGGACTCTAGGACGCTGAACCAAGAAGTTCTTTTCTGACATCCAGTAAATAATGAATGTGTTAGAAAGCAGATCCTGGCGTTCACACTCACCCTGTTCTCCTCGTGTCGAGCTGTAAAATGGAGTCTGGCAGTCTGACAAGTCTGACTTCATACTTTCACTTTCAACTTCCCTCCCCTGACTGCAGCTCCTCCTCTGTTTCATATCCAGCCTCCTCAGCTGAACCAGTTCACATGTTCTTATATCTTATCTTACTTTGTTCAGTGAGATCAAATAAAAGACATGCAGCTAAAAACAAGCTCAACAAAGTTATCAGAAGACGACACAACATCCACACATCAGCGCCCATAGGATATCATTCAATCTGCTTCATATCAAAAACTATGAACAGCGACTTAAATAAAAACACAAAGCTACATTTAACTAATTTACAAGATGTGCCAAAATCAGGAATGAACTAGAGGGCTATGAGGCAGGTAGGCATTCTGCAGAGGTGGGACCAAGTCATTGTTTTGCAAGTCACAAGTAAGTCTCAAGTCTTTGTGCTCAAGTCTGAGTCAAGTCTCAAGTCAGGATGGGCAAGTTCAAGTCAAGTCCTAAACTTTGACAAACGAGTCTTAAACAAGTCCTTATGAGCTTTTCCACCAAATGTAATGACACCAACAGAATAATACTTAATAATCAAAGTGCTCTTTATTAGTCACATTAATAATGTAATAATCCATCTTCTCTCTGCTGGTAAAGTTACGTGTGTTTTTCTATTTGAAGAGGGATCAGTAAGGTAAGGCTACCGTGACGGTTTATTGGATGAGTTGGATGTAGAAAAGTCAGAATCAAAATAGATGTTTTTATTTAAGTTTCAAGCATTTTCAAGGATTTCCAGCCCCCGTACGAACCCTGCTGTCTATAGGAGTGTCTGGCAATAGAGAGGTGCAAGAATGAGTCCTAAAACCCCGGACAAGACTTTCACCACTTCCTGTCTGGAAGTCAATGGTTCTCTGAATGTGTTTTGTTGTAAGCCTCATATGGTTCTATGGTTAACACAAGCTGAACAGATTTGAATTCTACGTCTGTGAAAACCCCACTAAAGGAAATAAGAGTCAAATCCGGCACATATTTCTTCTCTTCAATCAATCAATCAATAGGATACGGCTGTAATAGGCCTGAGGCCTTTTAGTCGCTCATAAATAAATGAGTAGATCACTGATTCTTTATTTACTATGGATGCTGGCAACAGTCACATAGTCCAAAGTGAAGGTGATGTTTGACCAGTAGTGGTCGAGGCGGGATTTGAGACAGTTAACCGTCTTGGATGTGACAACGCTTTCTGGCAGATCATTCCACAAGTCAACCACACGCAGGCTGAAACAGTTGCGGCGGATAGCCAGTCTTGAGTACTGTTTCTTCAACTTGAGGCAGTGTCCACGAGTCCTGGTGTTATAATCCCGTTGTAGTGGGCATGATGTTTTGTAGATGTTGTGGAGATATTTGAAAACTTCGATCATATCTCCCCTCGCCCTTCTATAATACATACTCGGGATCTTAAGACGTTGCAGTCGTTCTTGATATGGTAGGTCCTTTAGTTCTGGAACCAGCTTCGTTGCCCTTCTCTGTATTTTCTCGATGAGCTCAGCATCCTTTTTGTACATGGGGGACCAAGCGGCATTCCCATACTCGAGGAGTGGCCGTACAAGAGAGATGTATAAACTACGTACTACGTCAGAGTCCAAATAAGTGTATGATCTGCGGATCATTGCTAGGATACCATTGGCTTTGTTACTTGCCCGACGGATATGGTCACTAAATGTCAGGGTATTATCAACATTCACACCAAGGTCCTTTTCATTCTGAGTCTCGGATAGGTTTATAGTGTTTGAATTATCACCCATATTATACTCATATTTTTTATTCAGAAAACCTAAGTGCATTACTTTGCACTTTGCTGCATTGAATTTGAGCTGCCAACACTCGGACCATCTTTGCATTTCTCTGAGATCTGACTGGAGTTTTTCTGCATCCTCTTTACACTTAATTTCCTTGAAGACTTTAGTATCATCTGCAAACATCTGGACCCAGGAGCTCACATTATTATCTTGTTGAGGTACATGTATTCTATGCTCGGTCCTTGTTGGATAAAACTAATATCTTTCAACATTTCGTCCCACCAGCTCAGCCCTATTTCTTTTTCTTCCTCTTCTGCCTCACAGCTTCTGAATCCTGAAGAAACCCTCGTGGTTCAATAGACCTATCGCTAAGCCACGCCCCCTTTGAAAACTCGGACAAACAAAGCCGACCGTGAATGACTCTTGACAATGGCCGCGGGGGGAGTTCAAGTTAAAATAACATTAAAATAGAAGCAAGAGCTAATAAAAGCAACAGCAGATGAAAGTTAACAGTTACAAGCAAGAGTAAAAAGGTAGCCATGTATTTCTTTATATAAAATATCTAATCTTGTTGCCTGTCGTGTGTAGTGGTGACTGTTGTGTAACCATTGAAATGATAATATGATATTGAATGTTAGCAGTGGTGGTCACTACATTAAATCTAAAACTATAACTGTCCTTGTTGGTCATAATTTTCACTGTTATGCACCTGGCTGACTGTAGCGTTACCTTCTTTTGGGTGAGGGTCTGTGTCTTTTCGGAGCAGCACACACGAGAGCCCGGATGGGATCTGATATTCCAGAGTTGGCTTCCCATCTCTGAAGTGCTTTGAGGTGAAAAGACAGTTAGCAAAAGTTAGCTAAAAACACCAGCTAACTAGCGAGGACGAAAAGTCAGACAGCAAACGTTGATGTTGATAACACTGTAGCTAGTTAGCTGGCTAACAAGTTGGCAGCTAACGTTAGCTAGCTGGGCTGGATATACGCTAGCTAGTTGGCAGTCAAAGTCAATCGTTAGCAAACTAATAGTTTGGTCTACGTTTCTAATACATGCCGTCAAATATGATGTCTTTATGAATTGACCTTACCTTTGAGCAAACATAAGTGTCCTTGATAATTGTCTTCACATTCAGTTGTGTATGTGGTCGACGACACAGCATAATCCACCGCTTGCATTTGTCGAGTTTTCTTTTGGGCTTCGGAAAAGGTACGAAATATACTCCTCCATCCAGTCTTTCAGGGTACCTGGTGTCCGAAATTACAGGTACCCCACGCACAGCGTTTTTCACCATCAGATATTAGCTAGATAATAAACATAGAAACTGAACTCTTCACAGTGGTTTCGATCACAGACGTCTGGTTTTGGTTTGATGCGCCCCACAAACGGCTTTTCTGGTGATGTCCGAGTTTTCTGTCAGGAGGGATTTTCGCTGTGATATGATTGGACAAATTCTATTTGGGGCGTGGTTTAGCGATAGGTCTATTCTCCTTCGTGAGAGAAACAACGGTCGCTTTAAGTACAAGACGAACTCCTCACTGACGTCCCGGAGGCTAGTGAGCGACGATGCAGCCATTTGTCAAACAGTTCATTGAATCAATCTATTATTATTATTATTATTATAAAACAGAAAACTTTGGAGCTTTTGCAGCTTATTTTGTAACATCTCCTGATTCTGGTGAAATATAGTTCACGATGAGTTCTCCTGATAATCACAAGATGTGATTGATCTAAATATCACGTCTTATTTCTAGACGTCTCACCGAGCTGATGTTCACTTGATCTATTGGCAGATCTTTTGACTCATTACAGGCGAAAACTCCTCGTTTTCATTATTCTTTAACTTGATGTTGGAGCAGTGTGCCAACGACACATCATAGGAAGTTATACTTTAAGGCTAAACCATCAATTCACTTTCAAGTGTTCAGTGCTCATTTAAAAGGAAGTACTTTCAGGGACGATTAAGACGTTAACTTGGTTGTTTGGGAACAAAACCACTGTTCCTATGGTAACACACATATGAAGGATTGTTTTTGGGTGTCTAATGTCTATACCCCCAGACACCATTACCGTTATAACATCAATGCAACGTGGAAGCAGGAAGCCCATTAGTCGATGTTAACGTGTGGATGAAGCCTAATATCTAAATGTTACACCAACGTCCATTAAAAGGTTGTGAAACTATTAAATTGTGCGATCACACAGACCATAGAGTGCGTTTGTTTCTAATACACCCTGATAGAAAGGTAAGAAATGTGTCTTTAACAGAACAAGGGAGCTACAGATACTGCATCAGTGTTCATGAACTCTCCTCCACATAGACTGCATCTGTACGTCAGTTCCCACGATGTGTGTGCACCGTGTCATCGTGGCTTCCTGTCTGCTAACGAGCTATACTGGGGGTGTGTTTTATGGACGTGTAGGCGGCTGCTGGGGAAATGCTAATGAAGCTGCAGAACATATAGGAAGACGAGCTTTATGGGACGCTTATATGACAGAGACAATGCCATGAGAGTGTAACACATCTAGGACATTGAGTTTGTGAATGAATTAGCCGTTATCTCAGGGTTAGTTCTGGCCTGTGTGATTTTTTGAAACACAATTTAACAAGCATGGTACATGTATACCTGAGTTTGACAGACTTCTCTTAGGACAGGCTGAAGATCCGGTGCTTCAGAAAAGTGCACTTGGAATCTGTCAAAGTTACTGATGTTCTCACTTCTATCAACAGCTATAAACTCTTTGAAGTCTGTGTTGTATTTTAAAATCCTATCCAGGACAAATCCAAATTCACCTGTTACTTCCAGGAGATGGTTTGTGCTTTGGACACTGTAGATTCTTCTTTTAATTTCCTTTTTGCTAGGACTTTAACAGATTCCTGATGCTCATTCCCGCTTCCTGTAATTATAAGAAAAAGACAAATTCATCCTGATGTTGACTAATCATATTATGCCAGATTAAATTAAATGCCATCATCTATCATCTTCTAGTTAAACCCATTAATACACACCTTATATAAATGATAAGCAGTATGGTAATTTTAAGTTAATTAACTTCACCCATAAAGACAACTTCTAGAGAAGCACAGGGGATATTCTGCTCAGCCTCCAGTGGCGTTTTCTCCTGGAGGCTGAGTATTTCTTCATATTTTTTATTTGTATTAAAAAACATCTCTCCGCTGTTGTCAGTGAGTATTTTACAAAGACTGAAACAGCGCCCCTCTAAATTAATGTGGTGAAACACAGTATTGCACGCTACACTCACTCTATACTACACCCGCAGTCCGCTGTGTCAGGGACATGTCAAGGAAAGCCCGCCGGCCTTCCCTTCCAACGATTTGATTGGTCGGAAGGAAAGCCCGGGCCGCCGGCCCTAACGTGCCGTGCGTGACGCTGCATCTCACATACACAAGTTGCCTTAGCGACAAGAGGCAGATATGAAATCTCCCTTCTACACAGTGGCGAGCCGTGACTTTTATACCTAGGCCCTTTAACCCCCCCCCCCCCCCCCTTCCCTCGGAAAAAAAGAAGAGATGTTACGTCACAGTGTATACTTCAGCGGAATATCAAAACAGCGGCCCGGGGTGCAAAACGCATCAATGACAGAACAACACCATTTATATAAACACCTATCATAACAGGGCACCCACAGCCAAGTAACAATTACAAATGAATTAAGTCGGCACGGCAGCCCGCATTGAAAATGACTTAGGCCTACCTTTGATGATCAAATCACTGAAACACAAAGTCCATCCTCCTGTCCTTTTGGATGAAGCACTTGCTTCAGCTGATCCTTTGCAACTCAATCTTGAAAATGACTTGGTTAATAATTTCGCAACGATGTCCTCACTATCACTGAAGTGAGCCATCATGAACGAACTTATGCTAATTATAAATCTATCGATCATAAATCTACCGTTTAGATTTATGATTCGAAAATAATAAAAGTAGTGTAGACATGGATGTGGATATTATCCGGCTGAACAAAACGAGCATTTATCAAACAGGTTCGTTTTCCACAGACCTTATTTCGAGCTATTTTCCAAAATCCTATGGAGAAATCCCGTTGCTTTCTGTCGAGGGAATCCGAGCGCAGCTTACTTCCGGGTTTTAGGACGGGTCACTGCACCACTTGCATAGACCTCACAGCGGGCAGAACTTGTCATAAAGTCTAAATAAAATAAAACCCGCCCATTTAGAGGGAAGATATGATTGGTCAATCGTACTGTCATTTGACATTACTCTCTCGTTGAGTTACTATAGCTGGCCCTCTGTGAATGTAGAGAGGGACCAACAAGCTCTCCCGTCTTCACATAACTCGCAGAGACGGCATTTAACCCTTCACATTCCAACAGAAACTGAACAGGCAGATTCGAAGGATTTATTTCTTTGGAAATGTTATTTTAAATACAATTAAATCAAGTTTTTTGGTAAAACTAATGAAAAATGTAACAACAACAACATTTTGAAAAAAATATTGGAAAAAAAATGTTTTTATTTATTAATGTTTTCAAATATTATTTTTTAGAATATCTGAGGGCCCTGACGGCTCGCCACTGCTTCTACACAATATAATATTTGCAAGTATAGAGTAGTGGCTGATGTTTTAGTCAGAAACAGGTCAACTGTAGTACGTACTACTAATAACTTTAGTGCGAGAAAGTTACGTATTTGCACTGTCGGTCTTCTCACTCGCACTTTCCCGCCACATCTGGCCGAACAATGAAACCTAGCCAAAGTAGCTAGATAGCATTAAACATATAGCTGCTAATGCTATCAATATAATGCCGATTGAAGAATGATGGTCACAGAAAAGAGTGTAAGCTACATTAAGTTAAGATAAAATAAATATAATAAAAAAGAAGAACGGCTTAAAGGAAAATAATTGTCATCCAGGCAGCTAAACTCAAACAATAGTTAGCTGTTCAGCATTGGCAAAACATATTTATTTAAGTTTAAAAATATGTATTTAGACCCCTAGCTTGCTCACATTATGACAATATATCTGCTCACTTTGTTAAAAACGTTTTGTTTCTGTAACTTACCTAGAGTTAGACTCTCCTCCGCTGACATCCATCCTCCACAGCAGCCAGAGGTGAAATGGCAGTTGGGACATTTGATGGACAGTTGGAAAATGATACATTTGAAATAACTCACCCGTGATTGGGCAGGACAGTGGCCAATGACAGTGCCCAATGACAGTGCCCAATGACAGTGCCCAATGACAGTGCCCAGTGTTAGCCCAGTGTTAGCCCAGTGTTAGTCAAAACGCATGTGTTGACTATGTGCATTTTTATTTTAAAATAGTTCAGAAATGACACTGAATGTGTTGAATTGCCTTTGACACAGCAGTGTGTTAAAACAAATGGCACATTAATTCTAGGAGTGTAATACTTTTACAAACACTATGGTAATAATATGCATTCATTATGACAATATCATATTACTATGAGTGGTCATAGTGTGTTCAAAAAACAACTACAGAAACACTATATATTATACTATAGTTATAATATTGAAAATAATATAGGAATACTACAAAGATCTAGATACATAGTATTACTATTGAAATATTATAGGGCTACTATAGCTAGTAAAATGGCACTACAGAAAAGACTATAGTAATACGGTAGCTGGTAATACTATAGAACTCTACAAATTTACTATAGGATATTATACAACTCTTATAGTATACTATAGTAATACTAGTTCATTTTCTTAAGGGCAGATGAGAGGCTTCAATCTCAGGTTTAGATTTCTTGTTTTTCTTTGGCTCAAATATCACAAGAACAAAACGAGGTGTTCTGTCTTCTTGCAGTATTGCCAGAGGCGCTGCTGAACATATTCTTTCTTCAGTACAACAAATCAGATTGGTCTGGATTCAGTTTGAACAGACTGGCCTTCATGAAGAGAGGGAGAGATGCCCAGAACACGTGTTAATAAGCCGTCCATTTAACCGTCTAACCGTAAGAACATCAAGCGATATGTGCAGGACGTATTTCAAATAGACGGCATGGAGAGAAGTTAGGGAAACAACTATTAAAGCTAACATTCATCTGGAGATTTGGTCGTTTTCTTTCCTTTTTAATTTGTAAAACAACAACAATAGATACTGAAGTAAACCTTAGCGACCATGCCATCCATGATGAAACTCTACAGAAGACCCTCTCACTTTTCATACGGTGCTTTAATATGATGATTGAAGTGCTGCTTATTAAACTGCTTCATATCAAACACAGAAGTAATGAGATCTCTGCAGGTCACCTGAAAGCATAGCAGTCATAAATCAACTAAAAGCATGTTTATTTGTGTTGTTTGTATTAATAGCAGCTGTTTACCTGCGTGTGCCCTTTATCAAAGAAGTCCTTTAGTCTCTAATAAAGAAAAAGTCATTGCGTTCACAAACAAAACATCAATTATAGCTGAGAGGGAAATGTTAAGCTTGAGTGAGCAGCGAAGAATTAGACTTCCAGCGTGAAATAAATCAAATTACTGACGTAGAATTCATCGTCACAATCAGACCCAAACAAAACACTTCTAAGGTCATTTTATATATATTTAAATAACACAATAATAACTGGAAATGTTCTTTATGGTATCATGTACTTTGTGTTGCTAGGCAGAGAAGCCAGCTTTAATGAGCCTCTGGCGCCATCTAGTGGTTCATCTCATTATTGCAGGACGCTAAATTAGGACTCACCAAAAGTGCAAATATAAAACACTTTGTCCAGTGGTGGGTCAGGGTAAGTAAATATAAACCACTTATTGTAGATAAGTAACATTGAATGGTGCAAATACAGTAAGGATAACATCACAAATATTAGAACAAATTACAAAACATTCAAAGTGGAGTGAGGGTCTATTCAAGTCACATAAATAAGTCAAATCATGAGGAACGTGTAATAAGGGATTTTGCAAATATTTTAAGTGTTTTCTTCCATCCAGTGAAGTGGGGCTTAAACTTTAGATATGTATCACTATAGGAATTAAAGCGTAGAGTGGATTTGTGCACTTATAACTTATTTCCATGCTTTTTTCTTCTTGATTTTGTAATTAAATCATTGTTTATGAGTGTATCCCCATCAACTATGACTGTTCAGTTGATGCTCACTATACTTAGGCTTTAATATAATAAACAGCAGCTTATATATCAGTGTAACATCAGTCAAAAGCATTTCCTAGTACCCTCCCTTTATATATAGATGCTACTGAGACCATGGGGTTCAGATATTAGACGTGTTGACAAGTTTAGCCTCAACCCTTCACCTTAAAGTCTGTCAGCGTGGAGATACTTTGAGTTCAAAACAAAAGCAGGGATTCTCCATATTCAGATTCCTTAATCTAATTGCAAGAAACAATATTATATCTTGCTTTAACATTGTGAGAAAGCACAGAGAAGTTGTTATCAGCATATAAGTATTGAAACAACAGTAGGCCAGATCTACTCTCAAGGTAGTAAGTGAGTGTTGTAGCATTAGATCTGTTCGATCTGTGTTACCTGATGATTTCATGTGTCAGTAGAATGACCTTAAAGTCTGTCAGCGTGGAGATACTTTGACTTCAAAACAAAAGCAGGGATTACAGTCAGACATATTCAGATTCCTAATGACATTTAAATAAACAATATTACATCTTGCTTTAAAATCTTGTGAAAAAGCAAAGATAAGTAGTTATATAAAAAGTATAATATAAGAAAACTAGGCTAGGACTACTCTCAAGGTAGAAATATATGTATAAGTGATTACTGTGTTAATATTCCTGATGATTTCATGTGTCAGTAGAATTATAATGTTGTAGATTATATATTAACAACAAATTAAATTGTATAACGTGCCATTTTATGCAGAAATGTCTCTCTGTTTAGTCACTTTGAACTAAAGCTCTCAAATATACTATCAAATAATGTGTACTTCAGCATATAATGTTGTTAATTGTAAATTACTCAATAACAAATGCTATGGTGATGACGTCACGCCTGTACGTCCTACGTCACCGCGTCAGTAAAAATGTAAACAATCCGTTTTGCAAGCTAAGGAGATGTTTAATATTTCACCAGCGGGATGTTCCCATAAGAGGTTACTGCTGTTGATACTCAGAGCGGATATCACATGGAGTTATAAAGTCTTTTCTGGGACGGTTTACAAGACAAGAGTCACATTTCTGTCATAAAGTTAATATTAGCTAGTTCGTTAGCCAGGAAGTGCTCCGGCTGTTGAAGCTGATTTTTTTTGAATGGGCGTAGTGGCCAAACGGTGGTACTACAACTTCCGTGGCTCACATTAATAATAATAATAATAATAATAGATTACATTTGTATAGCGCCTTTAAAGGGACCCAAGGGCACTTTACATGGTGAACAAACAAACAAGAGGGGCAACTAATAAAGTAACAGTAGCTTTGTGAAAGAGACTTCCAAAAATATACAAACAAATCGAAAATAATGCCTTTTTTCCTGAGGTGTTGTTCAATAAAGTTGAAATACAAAAATCTCTCCCCATTCATTTGACTCATGGATGTATAATAAGATAACATTATTATTATATTTATTTATTTACTTATTATAATGAGATTTGACTGAGCCGAGAGCCGGAAATCGGAGGCAGGGTTTAAGGAACTACTCTACTGCGCATGCTCAGTGGGCCCAGGTGCGGGTATTTCCTGAATCTACAGTCGCTTTATTTCGGGATTCACCGAGCAGGAACAAACAGAGCTCCTCCTCCAGCTCTGTTTCCAGTCTCTCAGAGGTGTGAAAGCAACACTACTCTCCTGCTAAACTCTTCTTTATATATATAAAACACCGCGCCTGTTTAATGGTTCTCTCCCTGCTGAGTCTTTGCGCCTCGGAGGTGGTTCGGGACCACAGCTCGTCTCCATGCTGGCTGAGCTTCGTCCCCATGGAGCTGTTCAGACCCCTGCTGGAGGCCTCTCTGTCCGGCTGCAGACCTCTGGCTGTGGGGGAGCTGGTCCAGAGGTGGCCCGAAAGAACCCTGAGAGTCCGGAAGAAACCAGCCCCGAACAGACTCTGTATTCAGGCTCTGCTGCTGGCGGTGGTGAGGGGGCTGCTGGACCGCAGGTAGGAAGAGCAGTGCTGGAAGAATTACTATATTAAGTAACGGTTACTTTTCTGCCTTGTTTTGTATGCTGCTGCAACGCAAAACATGTTTCAAATTGGGATCAATAAAGTACCTATATATCTACCTACCTACCTACCTTACAAGATCTGAGTACTTCTACTTTTACTCAAGTACAAGATCTGAGTACTTCTACTTTTACTCAAGTACAAGATCTGAGTACTTCTACTGTTACTCAAGTACAAGATCTGAGTACTTCTACTTTTACTCAAGTACAAGATCTGAGTACTTCTACTTTTACTCAAGTACAAGATCAGAGTACTTCTACTTTTACTCAAGTACAACGTCTGAGTACTTCTACTTTTACTCAAGTACAAGATCTGAGTACTTCTACTGTTACTCAAGTACAAGATCTGAGTACTTCTACTTTTACTCAAGTACAAGATCTGAGTACTTCTACTTTTACTCAAGTACAAGATCTGAGTACTTCTACTTTAACTCAAGTACAATATCTGAGTACTTCTACTTAACTCAAGTACAATATCTGAGTACTTCTACTTTTACTCAAGTACAAGATCTGAGTACTTCTACTTTTACTCAAGTACAAGATCTGAGTACTTCTACTTTTACTCAAGTACAAGATCTGAGTACTTCTACTGTTACTCAAGTACAAGATCTGAGTACTTCTACTTTTACTCAAGTACACGATCTGAGTACTTCTACTTTTACTCAAGTACAAGATCAGAGTACTTCTACTTTTACTCAAGTACAACGTCTGAGTACTTCTACTTTTACTCAAGTACAAGATCTGAGTACTTCTACTGTTACTCAAGTACAAGATCTGAGTACTTCTACTTTTACTCAAGTACAAGATCTGAGTACTTCTACTTTTACTCAAGTACAAGATCTGAGTACTTCTACTTTAACTCAAGTACAATATCTGAGTACTTCTACTTTAACTCAAGTACAAGATCTGAGTACTTCTACTTTTACTCAAGTACAAGATCTGAGTACTTCTACTTTTACTCAAGTACAAGATCTGAGTACTTCTACTTTAACTCAAGTACAATATCTGAGTACTTCTACTTTAACTCAAGTACAAGATCTGAGTACTTCTACTTTAACTCAAGTACAATATCTGAGTACTTCTACTTTAACTCAAGTACAATATCTGAGTACTACTTCAACTCACCTCTTAATGTGTGATTGTTTTTGTATTATTTGACTTTAACTATATATTTATTTGTTGTTCCTTCCTTTTCTTTTCTCTTCACTATATCTGTAAAGCGTCTTTGAGCACCTGTAAAAGCGCTAACAAATTAAATCTATTATTATTATTACTTCTACTTTGACTCAAGTAGCAGATCTGAGTACTTCTACTTTAACTCAAGTAGCAGATCTGAGTACTTCTACTTTAACTCAAGTAGCAGATCTGAGTACTTCTACTTTAACTCAAGTAGCAGATCTGAGTACTTCTACTTTAACTCAAGTAGCAGATCTGAGTACTTCTACTTTAACTCAAGTAGCAGATCTGAGTACTTCTACTTTAACTCAAGTAGCAGATCTGAGTACTTCTACTTTAACTCAAGTAGCAGATCTGAGTACTTCTCCACCTCTGAAGAAGCTAACATGTTGGACCAGGATGTGAGTGTAATGAAAGCCTCCTCTCTTCCCCAGGTGTGCCCTGCAGGTGCTGGACCTGTGTGGTCTACAGGGGACGAGGGGGGGACGGGGGACCCGATGGGAGGCTGGTCCCTCACCGTGGCCCTCTGCACCATGGTGCTGCAGGCCAGGAGCGGAGCCCAGAGAGCGCAGAGGGAGAGGAAGAGGAGCTCAGACCTGGAGAGGAAGAGGGACGTGAAGAGGGAGAGGGCCGGAGAACAAACACGTGAAGAAGAACTGACGGGAAACAACACAGGTTTTGATTTGATTGGATTTATTTTGAACGTGTAAAACGGGGGTGTCAAACTCAAGGCCAGCGACATCATTTGATGTGGCCCGCAAGAGCTTACAAAGAATATATCATTGGTGTAATTGTTTAATATTTGCCGTAGACTTCTGCTTTCAGACGGAGTCATCTCTAATCTGTGTGAAGCTCTCCTGGTTTTCATTCTTACCCTGATGCTGTATTTCCCCACGGGGATAAATAAAGCTCCATCTTATCTTAAACCACACAGGTGAAGAAGAACTGACGACAACGTGTGGGATTTCCAGCGAAGACGAGCTGATTCGAGGAGTGAGGAGGAGGATGGAGGCGGAGAGGAAGATGATGCCTACTGTGACAGAATCAGGAAGTAAACAGGAAGTGGAAAGTGAAGTGCTGGTGCACGTGAGAGCAGATCTGTTTGTGAACGCCAGGTCGTGGGAGAGAGTTCGAGGAGCTCTGACCACATGTGGTCCTCTGAAGCTGCAGTGCAGGTATCTGAGAGCGGAGGAGATCTCTGTGTCCAGCATCAGAGCTCTGCTGGCGTTACTGCCGCAGCAAGGGCTTCTGGGACTTGATGTTCGTTACAGTAACATCGGAGTGGCTGGTCTGGCTGAGCTGCTTCCTCTGCTGAAGAGGTGGGGAGAACAAACACTTTGTACTTTCTACTTCTTACATGTTGAACACAAATACCTGTACTTTCTACTTCTTACATGTTGAACTCAAATACCTGTACTTTCTACTTCTTACATGTTAAACTCAAATACCTGTACTTTCTACTTCTTACATGTTGAACTCAAATACCTGTACTTTCTACTTCTCACATGTTGAACTCAAATACCTGTACTTTCTACTTCTCACATGTTGAACTCAAATACCTGTACTTTCTACTTCTTACATGTTGAACTCAAATACCTGTACTTTCTACTTCTCACATGTTGAACACAAATACCTGTACTTTCTACTTCTCACATGTTGAACTCAAATACTTGTACTTTCTACTTCTCTCATTTCCCAAACAGCTGGTTCCTTTAGTCTGAATGTGTGTTTGATGCGTGATCATTATTCTTTAGAGTCATTGCGTGCCTATTGATTTGAACACGATCCGTGTATCCATCATTTCCTGGTCTTCTCTAAAGAAGAGGGACCAATGGAAACGTTGTCATGTTGCCGTTGTTCAGCATGGAAACATTCATTAGCTAACAATGACATTATTGTTCTATTAATATATATAATATGTGTCCTCTGTCCAGTTTCCCCGCTCTCAGCTCTCTGCGTCTGCATTACTGTAACCTGGATCTCCGGAGAGAACAGCCCGGACAGGAAGGAGCTCTGAAGGAACTTTCTGAGGGTCTCAAGCAGCTGCAGGAACTCCGATGCCTCAGCCTCACCGCGCTGCGTCTGCCGGGACAACTCCGAGTGCTGCTCAGGTAACGCAACATCCATATGACTGCTTTCACTTCAATCAAATGGTTCTTATCTGCTATTTCTGCATGTGGTTTATTAAAGGTGCCAATGGTGTTGATCCCTTAAGGAAAGGTGTTATAGCAGCAGCAGGATAACAGAGAGATACTAAGGGAAGGGGGAGATAGGATTGTTTTAATGTTTTGTAAATTGTACACCGTAAACAATCTTGAACAAAGCAACCTTTAACCCGCCGTCGACCTCTCTAATGGATGTTTGAATGTAATAAATGCATCTCGTTGTGTCCCAGCTCGCTGCCTCGGCCCCTGGAGGTCCTGGAGCTGCCCTACCTGAGCCTGAGTCCGGCTGACCTGGCCTTCCTCTCCGTCAGCCACCACGCCTCCACTCTGCAGCAGCTGGACCTCAGTGAGAACCGTCTGGATGAAACCACGCTGACCTCCATCCGCCGCCTCCTCTCTCAGGCCTCCAGCACCCTGCAGCACCTCTCTCTGAGCGGGTGTGGACTCACCGATAACCTCCTGGTGCTCCTTTTGCCCTCGTTAGGATGCTGCCGGGCCCTCAGGAGCCTCGCGTTGGCGCTGAACCCTCTGTCTGTATCCGGCCTCATGGATCTGGTGAAGATGGCGGTGAAGATGCCTTCTCTGCGGCAGCTGCTGTACCCGAACCCTCTGGAGGATTATCAGCCGGGGCTCCCAGAGATGCCCTCCAGCGCCCAGCTGTTAGACTGGCCCCTGGACGAGGCTATAGACGTCAACATCACCAGCAGCCAGATCAACAGGGCGCTGAAAGCGAGCGGCAGATCGGACCTGCTGCTGACCTGCGACCTGCTCAACTACGATAAAGACATGGTGTGTTAAAGGACCACGAACACCTGCAAACTCTCTCCTGCTTTTTATCTTTTCTTTATCAAGTGATGAAGATTTATGGACTATCACTACGGAACACGTGCGCTCCTATTGGCTCGCGCTCCAACACATTGTACGTGATAGGCTAAGGGGCGGGACATCTCTAAGCTGGTACACCAATCACGACAGAATGCAGGACTTTTGAAGTACAACGAACACCTGACGATGAAATCCTACGAACTGTCTCCTGTTTTTTATTATATGTATATATATTTGTTTTTAGGGAGTTTCTCTCCTCCATTGGACTCCTTTGTTTACTTCTGGAACATAGTGACATCACGACGGGACACTCGCTGCCGGATCCGAGCCGGAAAAACACAATTGATTTGTACTTGTTTATTCAGATGAGTAAATGAACAGGATGTTTATGACGTGGTTTTCAGGTTATTTGCCATGATAACTTTGACCCAGATGAACCTGAGAAAGCCTCATTTGATCCAGATCACAATCAGACCTTCCTGCCTTAAAGGAGGACGTCCACTCTGAGGCGCTGCAACACATTGTGCTACTTCAACTTCTCTTCCACCACTGAGTAGGACACATGGAGGTGATTATTAGGGATGTCCCGATCACCTTTTTTTGCTCCCGATCCGATTCCGATCATTTGATTTTGACAATCTGCCGATACCGATTTTTCCCGATCCGATCTTTATGCAATGCATTAAGAGAAAAAAAGGTAACGGCTGGTCATCCAACGCGATGAGTTCAGCGATCTTGGCTGTTATTTGTTTGGCCTTGTCACTGTTCTGGGGCCGTTTCTCTTTCCTTTTGAAAGCCTCTGAAGTGTCGGTTGCTTCAGTGCCGTTCCCTGAGTGGCCGCTGTGTACTCGTCGTGTTGTTGGTGTTTGTTTCTCAGGCGGCGTGTTAGATTGGTCGTGTTGAACGTAGCTCTGTTCTTTCCACCACGCGGAACCTCCTTCTTGCAAACATTGCATCTGGCTGTTACACTGCCTTCGCTTTCAATTTCATAATACTTCCAAACTCCTGACATTTTCTCCGTCCCGACTCCCGAGTCACCAGCTGAACGAAGCCTCTCGTTAGCTGCTGCTATCAGACACTGCGCCCTCTCTGTTGCTTTGAGAGAACAACCAGGTCTGAAAACAAGCCCAACAGAAGCAACACATGATGTTGTGTAACTTTAAACCAAACTAAGGCCTCAGGATGACTTTAAGACGTGAACATGGTCCTTTTTGTTTTGTAACATTAAATAAAATAACTTTTTTTTTAAATAAATGAATAAAAATTCCCGATCCCCGATTTTTTTTCTCCCGATTCTGATCTTTTGAAAATCACGTGATCGGATCGGGACATCTCTGATTATGCTTCAATAACATGCTGCTTTACTACTTTAATAACGCTTCTTGTTGTTGTATGAAATTGTTGGACATGTTGCTCTTCTGACAGAAATGACTGCTCTCATCAGGATGGGATATGGATTGTTAACCCTCTTGTGGAAATTACGCACTTTCTGACAACTTTTTATATAAAGGCATTATCTCATCAGCTTGTGCATTTACACACACACCCTTTTTAAATGTGTGTTTGCTAAAGATTAGCACATGTTTAGCTCCTTGATGGATGAACTGCAAAACCTTTAGGATTATTATCCGAGTGATTCTCGTTGTGTTTTCTATTTTTGTAATATCTTGAACGTCACCAACTGTCCCAGAATAAATCAGTCTTTAATCTGATTGTTGAGTCTTTTAATACCAGAGGTGGGAAGTAGTGGAGTACAAATACTTCGTTCAGTACATGTTTCTGGTATCGGTACTTTACTCCACTTCTTATTTTTCTGACCACTTTTTACTTTGACTTCTTACATGTTGAACTCAAATACCTGTACTTTCTACTTCTTACATGTTGAACACAAATACCTGTACTTTCTACTTCTTACATGTTGACACAATACCTGTACTTTCCTACTTCTTACATGCTGAACTCAAATACCTGTACTTTCTACTTCTTACATGTTTGAACACAAATACCTGTACTTTCTACTTCTTACATGTTGAACACAAATACCTGTACTTTCTACTACTTCTCACATGTTGAACTCAAATACCTGTACTTTCTACTTCTTACATGTTGAACCAAATACCTGTACTTTACTTTTCCTACTTCTTACATGTTGAACTCAAATACCTGTACTTTCTACTTCTCACATGTTTGAACTCAAATACCTGTACTTTCTACTTCTCACATGTTGAACTCAAATACCTGTACTTCTACTTCTTACATGCTGAAACTCAAATACCTGTACTTGTCTACTTCTTACATGTTGAACACAAATACCTGTACTTTCTACTTCTTAAATGTTGAACACAAATACCTGTACTTTCTACTTCTCACATGTTGAACTCAATACCTGTACTTTCTACTTCTTACATGTTGAACACAAATACCTGTACTTTCTACTTCTCACATTTGAACACAAATACCTGTACTTTTCTACTTCTCACATGTTGAACATCAAATACCTGTACTTTCTACTTCGTACATGTTGAACTCAATACCTGTACTTTCTACTTCTCACATGTGAAACTCAAATACCTGTACTTTCACTTCTTACATGTTGAACTACACAATACCTGTACTTTCTACTTCTCACATGTTAACCCAAATACCTGTACTTTCTACTTCTTACATGTTGAACCAATACCTGTACTTTCTACTTCTTACATGTTGAACACAAAAAATACCTGTACTTTCTACTTCTCACATGTTGAACACAAATACCTGTACTTTCTACTTCTTACATGTTGAACTCAAATACCTGTACTTTCTACTTCTCACATGTTGAATCTCAAATACCTGTACTTTCTACTTCTCACATGTTGAACTCAAATACCTGTACTTTCTACTTCTTACATGTTGAACACAAATACCTGTACTTTCTACTTCCTTACATGTTGAAACACAAATACCTGTACTTTCTACTTCTTCACCATGTTGAACACAAATACCTTTACTTTCTACTTCTCACATGTTGAACTCAAATACCTGTACTTTCTACTTCTTACATGTTGAACTCAAATACCTGTAGTAGCTGTTCTGACTATCATCTCACATGTTGAACCAAATACCTGTACTTTCTACTTCTCACATGTTGAACTCAATACCTGTACTTTCTACTTCTTACATGTTGAACTCAAATACCTGTACTTCTACTTCTTACATGTTGAACTCAAATACCTGTACTTTCTACTTCTTACATGTTGAACACAAATACCTGTACTTTCTACTTCTCACATGTTGAACTCAAATACCTGTACTTTCTTTCTACTTCTCACATGTTGAACTCAAATACCTGTACTTTCTACTTCTTACATGTTGAACACAAATACCTGTACTTTCTACTTCTCACATGTTGAACTCAAATACCTGTACTTTCTACTTCTTACATGTTGAACACTCAAGACCTCGTACTTTCTACTTCTTACATGTTGAACTCAAATACCTGTACTTTTCTACTTCTCACATGTTGAACTCAAATACCTGTACTTTCCTACTTCTTACATGTTGAACTCAAATACCTGTACTTTCTACTTCTCACATGTTGAACTCAAATACCTGTACTTTCTACTTCTTACATGTTGAACACAAAAACCTGTACTTTCTACTTCTCACATGTTGAACTCAAATACCTGTACTTTCTACTTCTTACATGTTGAACTCAATACCTGTACTTTCTACTTCTCTACATGTTGAACCCAAATACCGTACTTTCTACTTCTTACATTTGAACACAAATACCTGTACTTTCCGACTTCTCACATGTTGAACACAAAATACCTGTACTTTCTACTTCTCACTGTTGAACTCAAATACCTGTACTTTCTAGCTTCTTACATGTTGAAACACCCAAATACCTGTACTTTATACTTCTTACACTGTTGAACACAAAGAGCCTGTACTTTCTACTTCTCTACATGTTAACAGCAAATACCTGTACTTTCTACTTCTTACATGTTGAACTCAAATACCTGTACTTTCTACTTCTTACATGTTGAACACAAATACCTGATACTTTCTACTTCTTACATTTGAACACAAATACCTGTACTTTCTACTTCTCACATGTTGAACTCAAATACCTGTACTTCTACTTCTTCACATGTTGAACTCAAAATACCTTACTTTCTACTTCTTACATGTTGAACTCAAATACCTGTACTTTCTACTTCTTACATGTTGAACTACAAAAATCACTGTACTTCTACTTCTTACATGTTGAACTCAAATACCTGTACTTTCTACTTTCTCACATGTAAGAACTCAAATACCTGTACTTTCTACTTCTTACATGTTGAACTCAAATACCTGTACTTTCTACTTCTTACATGTTGAACACAAATACCTGTACTTTCTACTTCTCACATGTTGAACTCAATACCTGTACTTTCTACTTCTCACATGTTGAACTCAAATACCTGTACTTTTCTACTTCTTACATGTTGAACTCAAATACCTGTACTTTCTACTTCTCACATGTTGAACTCAAATACCTGTACTTTCTACTTCTTACATGTTGAACACAAATACCTGTACTTTCTACTTCTTACATGTTGAACTCAAATACCTGTACTTTCTACTTCTTACATGTTGAACTCAAATACCTGTACTTTCTACTTCTTACATGTTGAACTCAAATACCTGTACTTTCTACTTCTTACATGTTGAACTCAAATACCTGTACTTTCTACTTCTTACATGTTGAACTCAAATACCTGTACTTTCTACTTCTTACATGTTGAACACAAATACCTGTACTTTCTACTTCTTACATGTTGAACTCAAATACCTGTACTTTCTACTTCTTACATGTTGAACTCAAATACCTGTACTTTCTACTTCTTACATGTTGAACTCAAATACCTGTACTTTCTACTTCTTACATGTTGAACTCAAATACCTGTACTTTCTACTTCTTACATGTTGAACTCAAATACCTGTACTTTCTACTTCTTACATGTTGAACTCAAATACCTGTACTTTCTACTTCTTACATGTTTGACTCAAATACCTGTACTTTCTACTTCTACATGTTGACTCAAATACCTGTACTTTCTACTTCTCACATGTGTGAACTCAAATACCTGTACTTTCTACTTCTCACATGTTGAACTCAAATACCTGTACTTTCCTACTTCTTACATGTTGAACCAAATACCTGTAACTTCTAACTTCTTACATGTTGAACTCAAATACCTGTACTTTCTACTTCTCTCACATGTGGACACAAATACTGTACTTTCTACTTCTTACATGTTGAACCACAAAGACCTGTGACTTTCTCTTCGTACATGTTGAACTCAAATACCTGTACTTTCTACTTCTCACATGTTGAACTCAAATACCTGTACTTTCTACTTCGTACATGTTGAACACAAATACCTGTACTTTTCTACGTTCTACTTCACATGTTGAACTCAAATACCTGTACTTTCTACTTCTTACATGTTGAACTCAAATACCTGTACTTTCTACTTCTAACATGTTGAACTCAAATACCTGTACTTCTACTTCTTACATGTTGAACTCAAATACCTGTACTTTCTCTCTACTTCTTACATGTTGAAACTCAAATACCTGTACTTTCTACTTCTTACATGTTGAACCCAAATACCTGTACTTTCTACTTCTTACATGTTGAACTCAAATACCTGTACTTTTTCTACTCTTATCATGTTGGAACCTCAAATACCTGGCACTTTCTACTTCTTACATGTTTGAACACAAATACCATGTACTTTCTACATTCTTACATGTTGAAACCCTTCTCAATACCTGTACTTTGCTACTGCTTAACATGTTGAACTCAAAGACCTGTACGTTCTAGCCTTCTCACATGTGAACTCAAAGACCTGTACTTGCTACTTCTTTACCATGTTGAACCCAAATACCTGTACTTCTAGCTTCTTACATGTTGAACATCAAATACCCTGTGTACTTTTCGTACTGCTTACAGTTTGAACTCAAATACCTGTACTTTCTACTCTTACATGTTGAACACAAATACCTGTACTTTCTACTTCTACACTGTTGAACATCAAATACGCTGTACTTTCTACTTCTTCTCATGTTGAACATCAAACTACCTGTACTTTCGACTTCCTCTACATGTTGAACGAACAAATACCTGTACTTTCTAATTCTACGTCTACATGTTGACATCAAATACCTGTACTTTCTACCTTCTTACACTGTTGAAACTCACATACCTGTATTCTACTTCTACATCGTTGAACTACAAATACCTGACTTTCTACGTCTTACATGTTGAACTCAAATACCTGTACTTTCTACTTTTACATGTTGAACTCAAATACTGTACTTTCTACT